TTGCTTCTTTTGAGCTTCCATCTTTGGTTTGCCTGAAGGGTGCCTCTCTAGCATGTATCTCAAGTCAGGTTCCTGCTGCCACTGCCATTTTCCCAATTCAGGTACTGGTAGCACATATCTCAAGCCAGGTCCCTGCTGTCACTGCTGGTTTGCAACTCTTCTTGGTCTTAGTGTTATTCAAACAGATTGTGCATTTAACCTGCCCCTTAAATACTCCCTTTTATGGTATAGTGGAACTATGTTTCTGAAATAGTATACCATTTTCTTTCAGCCATTGGCTATTGTTTCCTTTCTATTTAAACACATGAGGACTTATCTTGTATTTGCACTGCTCAAAGCTAGTTTGCATCCCTCTGTGTACACTGATCTATACAGATACTTGTATAAATCTGCATTCTCACAGATGCCCTGTGCTTGTTCACAAAGGTGACTTCCAATTTAGGTATTTCAACTTTGATTGGTACGGCATTTATGTTGGTGTGTTCCATTTGTTTTGCCATAGGCTTCCATATAGGTGTGACCAGAGCTCCGGTTCGGTACCTTTAGACGTACAGAACAGGCTACAACTTCTCTATATGTACAGCTACCTTCTATTTTTAGTTGTTCCACAATGCCAGAGGTGCTTCCAATCTTGATAAGACTAATCTTTTGTTACAGACCTTCTATGCATGCATTGCTTCTCTCATCACTTCAGTATATGTTACCTTGGTATCACCCTCCTAATCAATTACTTCTCAAGTTGGATGTGAAGATGTTGATACTGCCCTGTCTCCAGAGGACTTATATGTGCAATACTTCATGTAACAGAACCTTCTGTGACGCCACTGTCACCTGTAGTGCCTGCTTTCTGCAAAGTCAGTCTCCTTCCAGGAATTTTTTTTTCTGTTATGTACTGCACTTGGACTTAACCACAGGGCTTCGTGTTCAATTACTGGCTCCTTATAGGTTACAAAGGCTAAAATCTTTTTGATTTTGCCTTCAGCCAGACTTGAACCGTTGACCTTGACTATGGGGGTATGGGAGCTTAACAATTAAGCTATGGGACCCACACCCATAAACTTATTTACTACTTCAAGTTATTATATTTTTATTTAAAAATTATTTATATATTATATTTAAAACTTATTTATAGATTTTTTATTTAATGTTTTAATTGGGTTTTTTTTTACAAATTCTAATATAATTTTTCTAAATTATTTTTAAAACAAGATTTGATTTTTTTTATTATTTTAAAATTCTATATTTTTTTTAACAAGTTATTTCTAAGATAAATAATAAAAATTAAAAATTCTAAAATTTTAATAGAATTTATTTTTGTTAATAAATTTATCAAATTTTTTATAAATATAAAATTTTTTATTTGTTATATAAAATATTATAAAAAATCTTTTTATAACAAAGTACTAAATAACATTGTTATTAAAAAAATTGAAATTAGAATAAAAGTAAAATTTCAGCCTGAGATTAAGCTAAAACTGACAATATATACAAATAATAGCAATAGGAAACCAAGCTTAATCTATACAAATAATACCAATTGAAAATCGATTTAAAAGACGAAGTTTGGTTTTCCTTTATTATCTTATGTTATATGGCTAAATCAGGAAATAGTAGCACTAATAATTTAATGAACCCCTTGTTCTTATATATCTTTTGCTTCAAAAACAAAATTTTGATATTAGGGGCATACTAGTATTCTGCTTTAGCACTGTTCTTGAACAGATATATGTACATCGGAATATGATATAATTTCAGGTATTTAATCGACGTTGTAATGAAAAGTAGAGGTACGCGTTTTATTCGTGTGATAAAAGAACTTTAAATGTTCGTATCTTTTTAATCAATCGATCTGATTCGATGCCTGATTTTTGGCATCTTGGCATAAAAAGTTTGTGTGAAATACATGGGTAATTCAATAATCGTTTAATTTAGCACGAAATGTTTTTATGATCCCGACTATATATTATTACATTCATTATACTCTGAAGTATAAATGGATGACGCACAATTAAACCATGCAAATTTGAAATTTCGGAAATTTCACTTTACAGAAATGGGCTGATCGGACCTCTGATCTATTTAACCGTATAATATTCGTTTATGTAAAGTGAAATTTCCGAAAATTCAAATTTGCATGTTTTAATTGTGCGTCACTCAAATGATAAACTGATTTGACGTAATCCAATTTTAAATCTATGCTTCTTCGATCTTTACAGTTGATATTATATTTAAACTACGTAAAAACCCTATTTTTTTAGTCTAAGGAAGACCATGAAGGTTAGGAATGGTAGTCACTCACGCTCATTTCAGGGGTCGGGTAGTAATTTATAAGTATCACGTAATTTTGACTTTTACAAATTTATTAGTAATCCATTTTAAAACTACCTGGTTTTAGACGACCTTTAATTTGGGAAACGGACTAGAAAAACCCCATCTGAAAGTAAGTGCTAGATGGTGGTTTTCCTAGTCCATTCTCCAATTTCATTTACTTATATCACGCAAGGTGACATTTTAGCATCTTATTGGTTGCTGGTATATATACTGAAACAAAATCGTTGCCTTGTGTAATGTCGGGTAAGTGAATAAAATTTAGCCCAATCCTTTAAAGTATTAATATCATTAGAGATTTCAAATTCTGGTACATACGCATGTAGCAACCACAATTTTTGGTGTTACCACTGACAATGTAAGGCAATTTGTAATCCCATCGGCGATATAGCCATACAAAGTATATTTGAAAATAAAGTTTTTAATTTTGTGCAATTTAAGACTGCGGTGTCACGATGGCGTAATATTCCTGTTATGATTGCATATACTGATACGGCTATGCAGGGGGCTGAATGCAAAGTTATTATCGATCCGAGATTTTATTAGAAATAAATCGGGTTCTTTAATTATTACCGTTACGTTTAAAATTAATTATTACGTCAAATTATTATATTGTTCAAGTGTAATTATAACAATAAATATCGTGTCAGAAGGCATACGCACAATTTAAACTTTCTCATGACATTTTGTCTTACGCTAACGTGTAACACGCATTGATATAACAATCGTTAGGCCGCGGTACGTAGGGTATTGATCTTTCCAAAGCAATTTCCCGAAAGGATGTAATCTTAACTAGATCAGCTTGTATTATAGCTAATACTAGCTAATCTTATCAGAATTGTTTTTTTAGGACAATAACTTGAGTTACAATGTAATCATCGTACTACGTACGTACGTAGTGATAGTTGATAGAAATCGAACTACTGATAAAATAATTTATTCTCTGATAAGAACATAATTTATTCTTTTTAATATTATGTATATTTTAACTGTTACTACTTTATTATGTCGGAGTTTGAATTTTATAAAATGATTTAAAACATTTTAAATATTATATAATTGATTTATAATTATATATATTATATTTTCAAAATAATTAATACACCATTTTATTACTAAAAACAAAAATTATTTTAGTTTTCGTAAAAAATTAAAATGCTTAAAATTTATAGATCATCTAAATTTTTACTTAATTAAAATAAAATTTTTAGCCTGAAAAGAATTTAAAATTTTATGATATTGTTTTAAATCATATATATTAATCTTTTTTTTTTTAATAAAAAATAATTTTATATTTATCATGGTTAAAACCATTATTGTTGGACATAAAAGAGGTGTTGAAAGAGGAGTTTTAGATGTTGTTAATGAAAGAAACTTTCCATATGATGGATATTATTTAGAAAAAAATTATAATGAAGAAAAATATATTCCAGAAAAATATTCTCTTCAAAAATTAGATTCTGATTCTTATTCTTATAGGAATCAAAAACTTTATGAAAAAGCAGATTATATCTTAATCTTAACTATTTCAGAATTAAATTTCAATTATAAAATGGAATTTAATGGACTTGAAGAAAAAGAGAAATTAACAATCAACCTTGAAGATAAACAAAAAAATTATCAAATTAATAATTGGATTAAAACTAGAAATATTGAAAATTTACTTATAATCGGACCCAGTGAGGATGACATGTATCAAATTACACTTGATTTTTTATCTTTTTTAATTGATAATTTTCAAAATAATTATTAACGTTAAGTTTGTTTTTCGTCATTATCTTATTTGCTATTTATACATAGCGATAGTATTAGTTAGTATACACTATGATAATCATTATAATGGTTTAATTTCACTTATATCATACTGTTATTAAGTTTAATTAGTTTAATCTCGTATCAAATTTGGTTTACTATTTTTAGTTTTAATATTACGAGAATTTTATGTTTTTAATAAAGTCTAAACTCAAGCTTCAAGTATATTTTAAACATTTAACCTAATTGCATTCATATTTAAATTTATTAATTAAAACACATAGTTACATAATTCTTTGAATTATGCCACGTCAAAATTAATCTAAACTCATTAATCTGGATGAATATGCTCGTGATTTTAAACTATAATAAATGTCCTATCTGATATTGGAAGAACCGATAATTCTCGTGAACTTTCACCAGATTAATAATCTCATTTCTTTGCATTGTGGATAGTCTACGCTCGTGTATATCGAGTGATGCTACATATGTACGTACGTAATGTACTATACGTATGCTGCCTATTCAATCGTGCAGTGCCTACCACACGTGATTTTTATGCGAAAAATCACATCATACTGGCAGTATTAAGGTCAAGTAAGAAATTGATCCCGAACGAAATCGGGAAACTTGGTCAATGAATCAACTAATTATGAGCATGTTGGGTCCTCGAGGTATCGTATAAACAACACATTATTAAGTATATAAATCAAAAAAAAAAACTTTTTTTAATAACGGTAATACAAAATCAATCTCGGCATAGATAACCATCAGAATTTGACACATTCCATATTTAGGGAACTGGAAAAACTTAAAATGGTGCATTGAAACCTCGTGATTTAAAACAATGTAACATTTAAAGTTTGCTCATATTTTCAAATATTATCATCGCTTTTAAAGCTCTCAATAGCGATAAAGCGATGTATGGAATATGCATCAACTGTGGAACTGAGAGATCTAATTTTGCGTTGTGTAAGAAATGTGATGTGGTGAAGTCGGATAGTAGTGGAAATGATTTGGTAGATAAATTTATTGAGAACACTTTGGAATCAGCATGTCTTAAAGAACAAATTGTAGAATGGATTCAATTTGACAAATTAAAGAAACTAGAAATAATTGGACAAGGTGGATTTAGCACGGTATATTCCGCTATGTGGATAGATGATACAAGGGGAATTAATCAACCAGTTGCGCTTAAAAGTTTGAATGATTCTACAAATCTCTCAGGTACCTTTTTAGAAGAGGTAATACATTATTTACTCGTTTCAACTTACATGTAAATTTTATATTTACAAAACTATGCTTTATTTAGGTTAAATTACATCATGAATACTCAACGATTACTTTATATGGATTGACTCGGAATCCAGAGACACTAATCTACATGATGGTCTTAAAATTCGCAGATAGAGGTAGTCTTTGGGATTACCTCAAATTAAATTTTAAAGATCTTGATTGGAGAAACAAATTGTTTTTTTTACGTGACATAGCTTATGAATTAAAACGGATTCATGAAGGTGGTGAAGATGGACATATACATCGTGATTTTCATGATGGAAATATTCTTATATACACACACGACGATGGTGGTAATTATCCTGGTATTTCAGATTTAGGTTTGGCCGGACCTGCTAATGAGAAAACTAATGAAAAAGTTTATGGTGTATTACCTTATGTTGCTCCAGAAGTTTTATATGGTCAACTATATACAAAAGCTGCTGATATTTATAGTTTTGGGATTATTATGACTGAAATGTCGTCTGGAAAACAACCTCATAGTAAGTTCCCACACAATTATTCTCTTGCTGTAGACATACTTAATGGCTTGCGTCCTAAATTTGGCGAGGGAACACCAACAATCTATATGGAATTAGCAAATAAATGTATGGATGCAGACCCTTCTAAGAGGCCGACCGCAAAAGATTGCTATGAACAGTTAAAAGATTGGCTTGATGCATTGAGATATGATGGGAGCAACAGAGAAATAGATATTTCAACCAGAAAGGAGTTTAATGCTGCAAATAAAAAAATTCCAAATATATCAAGAAGCTCACGACTACACACAAACGCTATATACACCAGCAGTCTCCTTGACTTCAAAAATCTTCCAGAACCAAAAAATTCTACCGGTAATTTATTTATGACACCTTTCATAAAGCCAGTTACTTTTTTATATGTCGTATAATTTTTTTTTTTTTTTAGAAATGACCATATTTCAAAATACTGAAATTTCTTCAGATGATGAAAAATCTAGTAAGTGAACTCTTTAATTGACAAGTATTGAGTTTAATATCTTATATTTAAATATATATCATCTTTATTTATTTATAATATAGGTGAATGAAATTAAAATATTAATTTATATGATACGAGGTTGATTCCCGAGTATTAAACTTACCATACTTATTTAATGTATAAATTGTAAATTATAATTAACTTAATGAAACAAAATAATTTAATTTACCAAAAAAAGAAAATAAAATTTATATTACATAGGCTAAATTTGATTTAATCCAAATATAAACTCAGAAGCCTTATTATTTTTACAAAATAATCCTTCGATAATTAAGATTTAAATACGTATTATTATCATGTATATACAGTATGTTTTTAAATATATGTTTATAAGTATTAAAATTGATATAATATAGTAAATCTTCAAAAATCATTTTAGGGGAGTGTTACTTATTACGTATATATAGGATCCTCAGGAAAATGTCAATTGACTATGTTTCATACTCTTGATGTCAATTTTTGACAATTATAAGTTTTAAAGTAATTAATAATATAATTATATAAATTTTGAATATTCTATAAACTTCTTGCATGAGATGTAATGACTTGGTGTAGTAAGTAAATTGTTAATCTTCAAGTGACAGATAATCTCATTTATAATGAAATTTGAAAATTATATTTGTATTAAAATAAATTGTTTTTTAATGATTAGTTAGATTAGTTTTTTTTTTTAATATTAAAGTAAGTACTTGTAATCTAAAATTTCATTAATAGTATGTTTCTATTAATAGTTATTTATATAACAATTATAGAAGCAATTATAAAGATAATCATGAAATAAGTATATAACTAGTCATTTGTACAACTTTAATCATTGTCTAATTTAAGTAATTTGTTCAAAGGTTTTATATTAATTGTTATACTTAGAACCTATCTGTAAGTCTTTTATTTAAATATTCTAGTTTTTATATTTATTACTTACCTATTCTACCAATTACTCTAGTTAATATTAATACAAATATATTATAATTATGAAATTTTTAAAGCAGTTTACTTATATAAGAAAGTTTTAACTTTGTACTAAACCTACCAAAACATTCTGTATTTTATACTTATAGTTAACCTAATATCATTATAATTGAGATTAATACTTATAATCAAAGCTAATTATTAAACCATTATACTTTTATAAAGTTTATCTAAACTCTAGTATTTATTTTTTTAATATCTTCTTTATCATCTCTTATTAGTTACTATTTAGAACTAATAAAACTCTTTAGACTACTAATTCAGATGATCTAATATGATATATTTTTATATATATTTTTTTTAATGATTCTAGTAATCTAGTTAGTATATATGTTTTTTTTATATATTTGTTATTTAGTTTATTTATTTATCTCTTTGGAATAGTTTATAAACTTACAACATTATCAAAACTTTATATTATTTTTTTATTTAAAATTTTTCAATAGGTTTCTGTTTTTTTAGTTTTTTTTTTTGATATTAAAGTAAGGTCTTGCTTATATCTTTATTAATAATTTAAAATAGTTATATATATTTGCTATGACTAAAGCCAACACTTGCAATTAGGGCTAACTATTAAATTGCTAACTATACATCTATTACTATTTGTACAAAATAAATAAATTGAAAATTACATGCAAAAATAAAAGCTCAGACTAATTTATCTATGATCTAAATCTATTAAAGTGGTCAAAGCTTATCTAAATTTGAATATTTAGTATATAATTTGATGATATGCTATATTTGATTTATAGAATAGACCAAATATTAATTTTACAAATTACTTGGTTGATAAGAAGATATATGTTAAAGTGAGTATGTAATTGATCTAAAAGTTTGCAAAGATGTAAGTAAGTATAGTTTCTATAAAAACATATATGCCTAGTTGTTGAGTTGAATAATGTTAAAAGTATGTTAATTGGTTAAAATTAAGGTCTATTTTGTTATTTTTTTTAGTTAGAAAAATAAATATAATATGTTTTTTATAATTGTTTATATAATTGTTTATTTTTTTTTTGTTAAAGGCCATACTTGTAGTAATATTTTATTGACTTTAATTGAATTAGTTATTACAACTATTTTTACAAAGATGAGAGTACAACTAGTCATATATGCAACTTTTGGTTGCCTATTTAAGTAGTCCACTCTAAGGTTCTATACTAGATGCTATATCTATAACTTACTAGAAGATTATTTATTTAAACTCTCTAATCATTTGCTCTGTCATATTGGAATCCCAACTTATCCTGTATATATCTAACTGATATACCATCTAAGCAGTATAGTATTTACTCTTTTTATACTAGTTCTTAGGCTGTTATATATTTTAAAGTATATTATCTGCCAGTAAAGTACAGGAGGTCTCTTATTGTTAACTATCTACCTACTTTTAGAACACTAATACAGACTACTCTTACAAAGTTTATTCAGATCTTAGCACTAACTTTATAGCATATTCCTAGTACTTTTAGTATACCTCTGCTTTAATTCTAGACTCTCAATCCAGATAGCTCAAAAGAACTATAACCTGTTCTTGATATATTAAGGCCAGCCCAATATCCTTTTTTTCTAGTTCAAAATTCAGTAGTCTGGTTAGTAGTACTTCTTACCTAAGGTTCTTGCCCATCTGATTCCTCTATATTGATATCTATTTTCTAGGTTTAGCCTTTATAATAGTACTATTGAAGATCTGTATTATCTCTTAGCTTAGAATTTCTAAGTAAGCTTTGGCTTACCAGTTCTACAGATTTATATGGCCTAAGGACTTATTTTAAGTTTGCACCATCTGGTACTGGTTTGTATTTCTCTGTGTAACCAAGGTTACACAGATGCTCCAGACCTGCCAGTCATGCTAGTGCAATCATAGTTACAGATATCCTATCTCAACTGATCGACAGAATGTCGTTACTATAATACTGTCTATATATTACATAGGTGATTATCCAAATTTTACTGTTGATGAGTTTTAAACTCACAATCTATCACTTGAGAGTATAACAACTTATCCACTTTACTAAGTCATCATACCCTTTGATTGTTTATTAATATTAAGAAGAATATTAATAATAATTTGGAAAGCAATTTTATATGATATGTTAATGTTTTAAACTATTAATATAAGTGATTTTGGAATAAGTTCTTTGAGAATAAGGTTAGAATAAAATATATTAAATAAGATGTATAGAGAATTAAGAACTAGATGATAAAAATTTTATAAATTAGATTATTTTTTTGATAAAGATCAAGATCAGATAATTTGCTAAAGACAATTTGATTAGTAAAAGTTTAAATAATTTAGTTAAGCAAGAGTGCATTAGCATAAGTATACTAGTAAAAATAAAAGTTAGCTAAATTATAATAAAAACAGTTTTTTTTTGTTTTTTTTTGTTTTCACTAAGGCTGTAGTTATCAGCAGCTATTGTTTTTATTATATTTTAATTATAGTTATATAACTTGTACAAGATAAGTCTACAACTAGCTATATGTATAACTTTTGGTTATCTATTTTAAGTAGTTCACTTATATAACAGGTTCTACACTAGCTGCTATACCTGCAATCTACTAGGAGATTACTTATTTAAATACTCTGATTCTTATACTTATACTGACAAATAGCATATAAGTTTCCATATATTAAAATGCTGTCTAATCTAACTTTAACCTCTCTGTCTGTACATTCATCAAGCTGTTACATATTTCAGAGTATATCATCTGACTGTAGGGTTTCAGAGAGCTCTCTTGCTAACTAACTACCTACATTTAGTCTCTTGTTAATAGGGCTTGCCTTTGCAAAGTTTATTCAGATCCCAGTATTGACTTCATAGCATATCTCTAGTACTTATAGTATATCTTTGCTTCTGATTTCAGACTTCTAATCCAAATAGCTTAGAAAGACTATGATCTGTTTCTGATACCTTAGAGTCTGTCTCCAAGGTTCTTTTCTTCTAGTTTGAGACTTTCAGCAGCCTAGTTGATGGTACCTCTTATTAGAGATTCTTGTCTGTCTAATTTTTTCTTTATTGGTATTCATTTTCTATATCTAACCTTTATAGTGATACTGTTAAATATTTGTGTTACTTCTTTACTTAAGTCTTCTCAAGTGGGCTTTGGCTTTACAGTTCACAGATTTACATGACCACAATAACTTATCTTGAGTTTGCATTGCCTAATGCTAGTTTTCATTCTTTCATATAACTCCAACATTGTGCAGATGCTTCATAATCTGCTAGTTATATTGGTGTGATCATATTATAAGTATCTTATCTCAACTGATCAACATAATACTGTCACTATAATATCATCTATATATTATATAAGTAATTATCTAAATTTTTACTATCAGTGAGTTTTGAACTCACTACTTACTACTTGGGTAGTTGACAACTTAACCACTTTACTAAGTTACTACACTCTAATAAAAACAGTTAGTATTTGAGTATTGGTTTAAATAAATAGTATAAAATAATTAATATACTAGTAACTTGTTAAGAAGGATTTTAATTTTAAAGAATTTTAATTAGTTAAGTTTAAAATTAGTAATATTATATGAAAGTTTTTAATTGTGATTAAAATAAAGCTAAGTGGATCTTCAGTCAATATTCTAATTGAAGTATAACTATTTATTATTACATTTTTGTAATGTCTAAATAGCTAATATATATGTAGACTTTATATATTTGCTTAATGAAATATCTTGTAGAGAGTTCTATATAATGTTGCTTCTATTAAAGAATATGATAACAGTTATAAAGATTTGTATAATTAAATGAAAGAAGTAGTAATGATAAATGTTGTTTGGCAAGAAAGTCTGTTTGCTTATTAAGATTATTATCTGAATAAGTCTAAATTTTATAAAAGATAATTTGTAGTTTATATAATTTAATAATATTTAAAAAAGTATGCCAAATAGGTTATAAGTTGAACTTGAATAACTTATTAGAATGAGTTAAGTTAGGTTAAAGGTTATTGAATTTGAAAATTACTAATTAAAAATTAGTAA